TCAATGATATTAAATTTGCATAATTCTATTTTAAATATATTGTTCTTATTTATAATAACGTGTTACATTCATTACTCTGTCTTCTCTTAGGGTTCTCGTGGTGAAAATGGCCCAACTGGAGCTGTTGGTTTTGCGGGACCCCAGGTATAATTTTTAAATATCCCTAATTTAAAAAATGTACATGCTTCCTGTGATAGCAATGAGTTTAAGTATCATCATGATGTGTTTTGAAAGTATACAAAAATCCCGGAAATTTTACAGTTTCCTAGGCATTATTCTCATTTTCAATATAATTTTATCATTGGCACAAAAATTGACAAATCTGAAACATTTGAGCTTATGTAGCTATTTGTTATAATAAAGATATGTTAGAATAGCTTACTGTCTTTAAAGATCTCAGGTTTTGTTTTCTTCTAGTATACATTAATGCTTATTAGAAAGCATCATTCTACATTATATGACTAAATGATTTAAATTAATTACTATGAGATAATTTGTCTGTATGACACATCATTAATGGCTCCTTTGTACAATTGTGTACAGGGTCCAGATGGGCAGCCTGGAGTAAAGGGTGAGCCTGGAGAGCCAGGACAAAAGGGGAACTCTGGGTCTCCTGGACACCAAGGGCTAGCAGGATCCCCTGGTCCTCATGTAAGTTAAAGAAGAGACAGCCCAACGCAGTACCCCGTTTAGAGATTATGTTCAGTCTGCTTTGCTTTACTACAGTGTTTCTTGTTTATTTCTTTCTATTTAGGGTCCTATGGGTGTTCCTGGATTAAAAGGTGGTCGAGGGACCCAGGGTCCACCTGTAAGTTGGTTTGACACTGTGGGTATCATGCATGGCTAGTTTCAGGTGGCTAGTACTTCCTGGCCATGTAAAAGTTAATCTTCATTCGAAACTGTAATAATAAGTTATATATATATATATCCGTTATAGAGCGAAGTGTCCTAATCTAGGTGGTGATCTGGGTTAAAATGAGTTTTGTAGTCTTGAAGAGCCAGACACTCTCCATATAACATAAATAACATGCTACCTCTGTAAAATGATACATGAATGTGAAAGCATTTTATATGACTCATTATATAAACTATTTATATGATATTAACCCTACTGGTTTATGTTCAAGATAAATGAAAAGTAGAAAAAGAAAGCCCTTTTCCACTAATCCATATGGATTCTTTCTTAAAAACACAGGATACATGAGAGGAAAACTATTTGGCCACAGCATGGAAGGGAATCTAAAGTCTTAAACCTTTCTATGGGGGGAAAAATAGGTAGATCTCAGAAAAATACATATAATCAATTAATGTTATTTAAAAATGGCTTATACGAGATTGTATTCCTAGGGCGCTACTGGATTTCCTGGTTCTGCTGGTAGAGTTGGACCTCCAGGCCCTGCTGTAAGTAAATTTAGTGATTTAACTCATCAGTAATGGAGTAAAACAGACACACACACCACAGATATTGTTTATTATTTTCATTTAACTTCATATAGTTTGTTTTCTAGTTGAATAGTTTTATTACAATAACACATACCAGTATTTCATCAAAGAAAATTTAATCATCCAGTGTATTTTTGAGGAAATTCTTTTCAAGTCATGTTTACCTTTGCTGCTTGCTTCATCTTGTATCAAATAATAGCTCTGGTACTAATACTAATGATCATTGTCTTCAGTTGGGAAGCATCTCTGAAACATTCTTTGATAGCTGTTATTCTTTTATTATGAGATCATGTCAGACAGAATAAAATATTATGCTTTAATAGTTGGCACAGAGTTTCAAAGAATTTTGAAAATTCAAATTAATTTCACCACTCTCTGAAAAATGATCCGGAGGGCTTTCCGCAGATGGTATTTAGATCTTGCTTACCTGAACTGCAGACTTGGCCCCCTGCATGCGAGTCAGAGCCCTTTGCCTCAGTCCTTCTCACTTGGCTTCACTTTGCCCCTCTGCGTATTTCTTTCTGTGTTATACTAGGGAGCTCCAGGGCCTGCCGGGCCTATAGGGGAGCCTGGGAAGGAGGGACCTCCAGGTCTTCGTGGGGACCCTGGCTCTCATGGGCGAGTGGGAGATCGAGGACCCGCTGGCCCCCCTGGTGGCCCAGGAGACAAAGGAGACCCAGGAGAAGATGGGCAGCCTGTAAGTTTGATGTCTTAGTCGTGGATCTTCTCCAGCTGGGTTACATGCAAATGGCAGCACATAATAATCATCACCACAAATAAATTGCTTAAGTATTATTCAGGGCACATATGAATCCGTGATGTACACTATGCCCTATAGAATTTTTATTTAAAAATTTCTGCTCTAGAACAAATAGAAATAGACATAGTTTTTAAAAACTATGCCAAGTAAATTTTTGTTAAATATCTATATACAAAGAAAATTATTTTTAGATTTCAATATTAATCCAGTGCTTCTAAATATTAATGCATTTAGGTAGATGCTATTTTCTTTATTTGAAATTCTATCTTTTTTGGGGGGTGTCAGTTTGAGACACTCTTACTATGTAGCCCAAGGTGGCCTGGAACTTGGAATCTACCTGCCTCAGCTTCCCAAATAGTAGAGGTAAAGCCAGGCACCGTTATCCATATACTTTTTTTTTTTAAATGAAGAATTGTATTTTTTTGAAAAGTTATCTCTTTGTTCAGTCAGTATTCACATTATTCTTCAAATTCAATTCAGTCTCATGAGCTGTTTTCGCCCTTATATAATTTTAGAAGCGCAATGTATATAATGCTATTTATGATTGCTCATATGTAGTGGGGTTTTGTGAAGCAGATAACCTTTTTCATGCCAAAAAACCTGTCAAGCTGGAGTCATTCTAAAGTAATTCTCCTCGGATACAGTTTTATTCTGCAGAATTTGTAATTGTAGTTTATTATCAACATCAGGGTCCAGATGGTCCCCCCGGTCCAGCTGGAACTACTGGGCAGAGAGGGATCGTGGGCATGCCTGGACAGCGTGGCGAGCGAGGCATGCCTGGCCTGCCGGGCCCAGCGGTGAGTGGCTGCACTGCTCAGTTCTTCTTCTCATTTATACACCATAATCTGTGGGGAGATGATTGGTTTTTTTTGCACGGTAAATAAAGTTAAGCAGTTTTGCGCTAAAGTAAAATCTGAGCACCTTAAACATCTTTTGATCTTCAACATCTAATCCTGATGTACCCTGCAAAGCCTTTGAAAAATATATATTTGTCTAATCCTGGGGCTCGAGAAGTAGGGAAATAAATTTTGGGTGAGTCTTAAATCTTTTCTTCAAAGACTAAGAAGATCCGTGGAGTTAGAGAGGGGAGTGATCTCCTGGTGAGAAGGCAGTGTCTTTTTAAGCAAACACATTTAGCAGAAACATCCATATTTCACAGTGAAGCATCAAAGGCAAGACACAGCTGGGCAAAGTACTCTTAGAGCAGACTGTGGGCTGAACTAGACAGGGCTTTGTAGGTAATCGCCTGCTCCTGGGGGACGCCCTTAGGAACCTCATGTTCTGTGGAGTGTGGATGAAAATTTGATTCCGTATTAGCTTTCAGCAGACTAAAATTTTGCCATTAATCATTTACAATGCTCAAGAAAAAAGAAGTAATGATGTTTTCATATGAAATATTGACAGAGATGTACTCTTGAAATCTCAGGACTGAGAGACTTCTGGATGAAAGTCAGAAGCTGGCTTTTCTCTAGTGATACAGAGTCTAAAAGGGCAGCTAGAATTGACCTTGTGTGATTCACATCAACTCCAAATGCACCCCTGGTGCAAAAGATGCTTTCAGGTCCTTTGATGTAATAAGAGGGACATGACCAGAAGTGGGCATCACTCTGAACAGGCACTACAGTGATTTGGCTGTTATAAGATAATGAATAATTATTGCTTTTCAAGGAAAGACTTAGGTGTTATTTGATTAAATATAGCTTTCATGGGAAAGGCATCTTAAATGTCTGTGGAAGTGGCTGACATATTTCTACTTCAATTTCAGGGCACACCAGGAAAAGTAGGACCAACTGGTGCAACAGGAGACAAAGGTCCCCCTGGACCTGTGGGACCTCCAGGCTCCAATGGTCCTGTGGGGGAACCTGGACCGGAAGTGAGTGCTGCAGTGACAAGAACTCTTCCTTGTTATCTGGCCATTGTGGAAACAATGCTTTCATTTAGAAATTGATTTAGAAATTTATAAATTGGTTGCATGCATGCCCTTAGGAATTTTTTTGTTATTTTTTTTTCTTTAGTGGTTTTGATGTACTCTTCTTTCCTAGAGAGGTGGCTAAATAATAGAATAGAGAAAAGGAACAAAATCATTTAGCCCTGACCTATGTCTAGTCTGGAGTTGAGTCTTTCAGGTGATTTTGCTTTTGTCAAATTGTTTTGAAGGTCAAAGGACACTTCCATTCATCATTTCCCTTGTTATTATTTCATTCTCTAATGGGGTATTTATCAAAATTGCCAAGTTTCATGGTGATAGGATTAATGAAACTATTATATCTTACAAAAAGGGCAAAGCAAGTAGAGATCATTTTACCTAAATTTCACTAATGTCATGTTCCCTGAGAGTCTCTGATGGGAAGTTGGATCTTGACAGGCAATTTGAGAAGTTAAAGGTCAGAGTATCCTCTTGGCAGCTCTTTAATGTGTGGATCACCCCCAGTAGTCACATTTTCTTGAAAGAAATGAGCAATAATGTTCACAGCTACTTTTTATTAAGTAATAAAAACATAGTTCTGAAGCAATCAAAATATGGAGAGAAGACTATACATTCAAAGAAGTAATTTAGTATCCTCTAAACACAGTTATTTGATTTCAAATCCTTGAGAACATTATTTGGATAAACACAAGAAGTAAAAGTGAAAAAGATACATTCATTCATTCATAGTGCAAAAAAAAAAGAAAAAAAGCAAGAGTGTAACTGTTGTCTGTTTATTTCAAGGTATCTGAGGATACTTTCTGTTTCAAAATAAGCCCCAGAAGTGAACAATGTAGAATACATTAATTTTACAAGCAATTCAATATAATAAATAGAATGTTAGCCTTTTTCAACTGAGATTTACATAAGTGCTAATTTATGCTGACAGTTGGAATGGGTTTTTTCACTACCAAGTAAATTCACTTTTCACACCTCATTCCTTCTAGGGTCCCGCTGGGAATGATGGTACTCCAGGCCGGGATGGTGCTGTTGGCGAACGAGTAAGAACGATGTCACTAATTTAAACATCCAGACTCATGTAAATCTGAAGTACCTGTAATGTTAGTACTACACTAAAAACTACATTTCCTTCTCATACCTCCAATGTAGCTCTAATTTTTCTGATAGTAATGAGCCTTTCTGTAAGGCCATAGTTTTGGAAAATCTTATAAATGAAATGACATCTGGATGCATAACAAAGAAACATTGTATTTTTAAAATTAAGATCAGGGGGGCAAATTGCTCTCATCTTTGGTGCAGTATAAAGGTTTTGGGTAGGGACACATATGGAGAGCCCTAAGCTCACTTTTTAAAAAGTATGAAAGCTGCTGGAGATTTAGCTCAGTGGTGCCGCCATCTGCCTTGCCAACTCAGGGATCCATGTTCGATCCCTGATACAAAAAACAAACAAAAATAACCCCTCGCATAAAGAGTATAAAAGCTGAAATAGAGCTGAGTGACACCTACATTTCTCTGCTTACCCTTTAAAATGAATGACTTATGAGGACATGAGCCGTGTGGTTTTTAAACGTTATCCATCCCATCACGTATTTTGTGCTGAACTGAAAAATCTCCCCAATCGTGCCGGCGATGCAGTCCCTTTGGCAGCAGGCCGATGAAGGGAGAAACCATTCCTTACCCCACAGTCAACCGTGATGCAATGGCTTCTCCACTCGAAGGCCTCCTCATGAGCAGAATGGGCTGTGGAGCCACACAGACCTGAGTTGGCACTTTGATTCCTTTAGTAACTATTCACGTGATTTTCAGCACATTTTCTGAACCTGTTTTTCAAATAATTGAAATATGATTAATACCTATGCCATTAGGGATTTTTACACTAAATAATATGCTTAAAAAGCTAATCATGGGTAGACACCCAAGAATTTAAGGTGAAAAAAAAAAAGAAAAAATAATTTTGGGGCACCTTGGATTAAGACATTGTAACTTCAGGGTCTGCAGAGCCTTTTGTTATTGGGGCTTTCCCCTTTTATGGAGATACTGTATTTATTTATCGGATTCTGCTAATGTACTTGCTACAATACTTTTGAAAATCTATGAACCCTACGCACACTTTATGTTGCTGTCCAATTTTATAAAAATTGTAAGTGCAAATATATAGTTGCAGTGGAAGTGATTCTTAGTTTATGCATATGTGCTTTAAATGCATTTGCTTAAAAATCTTGCAGTTCCAAACTTGGCTTTTTTTTTTTTTTTTTTTTTTTTTTTTTGTACCAGGGATTGAACTCGGGTCCTTGCGCTTGCGAGGCAGGCGGTGGTACCCCTGAGCTAACTCCTCGGCCCTATGTGTCTATTTTTTATGTGTTTATTCTTTAACATAATTGCCAAAGAACATCCTGGTTATCAAATGAATGAGTCAAATACGACTGAATTTTTATCAGAAAATAAAGTCTGGCTCAATTTTTTAAGTCAAATAATTATGTTCACACATGTTTGTGTGTGTCACAGTTTTCTCACCTCTAAATGCTTAAAAAGTAATGGTTGGAAGCCTGTCAGAATTGGTTCATCAGGTTAAAAACAGGAATGGTCTCTTCCTTTCTAGATTCCTCTTAGGGTTATTCCAAGTGCATTGAGAAAATGTTCCTTTTTTTTGGTGGCTAATATTCACTCTTTAGTGCTTAGAAGTATTTGTCTTAATAAGACTGCATAGTATGACACATGTTTGTCTTTCATAAAATGAGAGAATGACTTATGAGAGAGCAAGAGGGGAAAGACTGCTCCAAAGTTAGTTTTCTGAAAGAACACATAGAGAGCTGAAAACCTGGAAGTTGCTTTTCTTAAAAATCTCCTTGTTTCCGCACTCTTTGGAAAGACTGTGCACTCCAAACATACAGACCCTCCAGCTTGATGACTGCTGGTTGGAGAAAGATGTCAGTTCTGGAGGTGACCTTTCCTGCATCCCAATAATTTGACTGTGGGACCAACAAGGCAGAGAAGAGGGGAGGGATAAGATCTGAAACCTGGGAGAAATAGCCTTATTTTCTTCAATCTGATTCATTAGCAAATATAAGTAAATTTTGTAAAGTGATACATACGTATTTAAAAAGAGTATTTTCCATCTTGTGACTAGTAAGAACTCAGAGGATGTTGTCCCTGTAGAATAAATGTTGAAAGAATAATACTGTGGCTGTTCTCATCAGGGTGATCGTGGAGACCCTGGGCCTGCAGGTTTGCCAGGCTCCTCGGGTGCCCCCGGGACTCCTGGCCCCGTGGGTGCGCCAGGAGATGCAGGACAAAGGGGAGATCCGGTAAGAAGGGAGGCAGTTTCAGACAGGTGGTTATGGGCATTGACACACTGTACTATAAGCTACATGGGTACATGCACACAATTATGCATATATAGATTTCTAATCTTAAAGGAACATTTGCTTTTGAATATGGTTTAAAGATCCTAATTCATTCATTTCCATTATTTAAAAATGGTGATTTAGAGGAAATGTAATAAATATGCATCAAATAAAGCAAGTAGTGTCTTTTTATCATCAACAAAGGTCATCTTCATTAGTGCAACCAATAAAGAAGACTGACTTTAAAATTATTATTGGTGTTAGCACATTCTTATCTGCATCACCAGATTTCAATGAATTAGTCTTGAGAATATACACAACACACACACACACACACACACACACACACACAAGCATCTGACTTAAGGCACATGCTTTCTGGCATTTTATATCTGTGTTTATGCTTATCCTTTTTTATGTGCCAATTGATATGAAACTTTTTTCCTAGGGTTCTCGAGGTCCTATAGGGCCACCTGGTCGAGCTGGAAAACGTGGTTTACCTGTAAGTCTTTTTTCTTAATAAATATGTTTTCTTACATTAAATATACTTGCAAAGAAGAAATATGGCTTAAAATTAAAAAATAGAATGATCATGGATACTAAATTATACTTAGAGACAGGAAGTTTGGTGTTTTGTAGATAACAATGATATGCTATATCTTTCACAAAGCTAGAAGAATGGCTTTCAAAAGTTTTCCTCCTAATAAAAATATCAATAATTGAGAAGATCCATACATATATATTCCCTCGCACTTCACCTTCCCCTTTGCACCTTTTCTCCTATTTCACATCATCTACTACACCTTTCAGTCCTTATTTACACTTTCAGTTTCTCACACTAGAGACTTTTCAGTATTTACACATAGGTATCCTATTTCTTTCACTCAAGAGTACCGCCTCAGTGTGCATCCATATAGCTACAAATATCTCTAGTTTCTCATTCTTTATGGCCGAGTAGTACTCCATTAATGAAAACAACACATTTTCTTCATCCTGTCTCCCATTGTTGGGCAATTGGGCTGCTTCCAAGTTTTAGCTGTCACAAATTGTGCTGCTATGAACATGGGTGCACATATATCACTGTGGTGTGATGCTTTTAGTTCTTTGGGGAAGATACCCATCAGGGGAATAGCTGGGTCAAAGGGGACCTCCATTCCTAGTTCTTAGAGGTGTCTCCATGCTGATTTCCACAGTGGATCCCCAGTCTACACTCCGACCAGCAGTGGAGCAGGGTTCCTCTTTCCTCACAGCTCCACCAGCATTTGTTATTGGTTGATTGCATGACAGCAGCCATTCTTTCTGGGATGAGGTGGAATCTCACGCATTTCCTGTGGAGGAGAGTAGTTTAGTGATGATATTCCAGGTTCATTTGCTTGAATTCTTGCCTGTTTCTTAGTATAGTCCCAGCTGCCATGTCTAGCTAGTTCATCCGCAAATGCTTCATTCTTAGAGGAAGCATGATAACCTCACAAAAGTACTTTCATATTTTAATTTCAAAGTATCTGTGTATAAGGACAATGCTTTTATATAACAATATCAGTTAAACATGTCAAATATAAGTTTTAAATACCTTTCTGATAGGTTACATCAAACTCAGAGACACTTTTTTGTATAAATATGAGAGAAACATTCACGGATCAACTGCCATTCCTTGGGAAAATTGGACAAAAATTCCTAGATATTTATTTATCTGAAGGCATTTATATAAGTAAATCTGTTCATCCATACAAAATACAGCATTCAAAATTATAGTTAGCATGGTTGTCAAAAGTTAAATTGTGTTATGTTTTCATGTCAAGAAATGAGAATGTGTGCGCCGTGACTCTCCTCACAGGGCCCTCAAGGACCTCGTGGGGACAAAGGTGACAATGGAGACAGAGGGGACCGAGGTCAGAAGGGCCACCGGGGCTTCACCGGTCTTCAGGGCCTTCCTGGGCCTCCCGTAAGTTGTTTCTCTGGGTGTCATTCTCCTCTGCATGTGAATATGCACAGGTATCTCAACAAGAACGTTCTTCTGGTCATAAAATAGGGGGATGTTTTTGTATTTCATTTTAATTTAAACATCGTATTGATGAGTACTAATTACCCAGCTACCTAACCCAGTTACCAAATACAGTTGCCCTTGTACAGACTGTAGTTTTGTGGGGAAGAAATAAAGCAAAAAGCTGTTGAACTCATGAGACATTGCAGAGATTGATGACCCGTGATGTATCGTGCTGAAGTCCATGCCAGTATATTTTAAATACCTGTGGATGGCACAGTACAAGAACTAAGTATTTTAACAATATTTTAAATTTATTCCCACTTAGGGTCCAAATGGTGAGCAAGGCAGTTCCGGAATCCCTGGCCCATTTGGTCCAAGAGTAAGTAAAACAAATTATTATGAATAATGACACCTTTGGTGACATAATGGTAACATTTGAGCATTGTTGCATGGTATTGGAGCTGGGGTTGTCCATGTTCTCTGAATTTGGCAACAAAGTATGAGACAAACCATTCAGTAATTAATTTTAAGTAGAAATTTCCTGAAATATGATTATAATATGTCATAATATAGGCCCATATTATAATCTCTGACCTAAGGTTTTTATGTATTTATCTGTTCATTTTCTGACTTCGGGGTATTTGAAATGTCCATTAAAATTTCACTCATTTGTGAGATAATTTGACCTATCCATGAAATGGAGACAGATTGTGAAGCTGGATATATTTTGTCCTTTTTAGTAATTGTGATAGCATCTCAGAATAGTTTCTGTAAAGCTAATTTGGAGGCAAATTTCAAGATGAAACCAATTTTTGGAGCCTTTACAAACTCTACATTTATATCAGTGCTGCCTCTGATATGTCATTAGTGTCATAAGGAGTTGATACATATAACTAAGAAAATAAAAAAGAGGATCCAGAAAAACAATCCAAAAATCAATTAGAAAAAAATTCTGCTCTATATAAATATGAAATAAGGAAATCATACATTAAAATGAGAACAGTAGTTATGAAGAGCACTATGCAATGATGGAACTCTACAGTATAAGAACTCCCAATTTATTTTATTTTATTTGGTCCTGGGATCAAACTCGGGTCCTTGTGCTTGCAAGGCAAGCAGCAGAACCACTGAGCTAAATCCCTAGCCCAGAACCTCCAATTTACTTATAACTTTCTGTCATTTCCTTATTCTAAATTAATTGAATTCCCAACTACATTTACCTGAGATTTAATGGAAGAATTATTACCAATGAAAGCAAGTGATGGCTCTGTTAAAAGTCATTAACTTGTGCTGATCTTCTGCCATCCATGGATCATGGACTGTTCACATATGATGAAATTGCAATGCTACAAAGTGCCAGAAGGCCATTTACTAATCAGTAAGAAAATGAATCTGAGAAATGCTTGGTATGACTCCGTCCGTACAGTAGTTCTTTGATGAGAGAGGAGCATTCACAGAATCTGAAACACGGTCTTTGTTTTCTTTCAGGGTCCTCCAGGCCCAGTTGGTCCATCAGGCAAAGAAGGGAACCCTGGTCCACATGGGCCAATTGGACCTCCGGGTGTTCGGGGCAGTGTAGGAGAAGCAGGACCAGAGGTAAAGTCACAGGGTCTGCATGCAGGAGATGCTGTTGGTGTCAGTAGCTTGGGTGCCAGCCAACAATATGAGGCCAGGTGGACAAGAGACTTAAGGGACCCAGAGAATGAACCAAGAATTCACACCAGAACTTTTCTGCATGGGTTGCTTTTTTGAACAATATTCTGTCTGTCAAAGGTGGTTACTACTTCATAAAAACTTTATGAAAATATTGGCAAATGAAATATATGATATTGAAGTTTTTTCTTTACTGCAAATGACACTCAGGACTTTCAGTGTGCACTCAGAGTTTTTATTAAAAATTCTAATAATCTTGACTCGAGGATAGAAATTTGGAAAGCAGCAAGTCTCTTCCATGTGCATGTGTTTATTAGGGAAATTATGGTTCCATGTCTGGTGTTTCTTTGTTCTTATTTACCTTCTCCTTATTTTACCTTTGACAATACCATTAAACAAAATATTCTTTATTTTTTATTGAAGTCAAATTAGCTTATATGTGATATGGTTGGAAAGAATGTTTCCTACTTATTTTTCTGTGAAGAGAGGCCAGGTTCTGAATTGGAATACCTTAGATTTATGTAGCTTTTGATTAACTTTATTTTCATAAATAAATAGTCTTTGATATATAAAAAAAATCCTAAGAATGGATGCATAGAATCATGATGACCTTGGAGAAAATTAATCTGTATCAATATATTCATATAGTCTTATACCATGTATCTATAGAGCCAAATCGATGTATCTATACATCTGTTTATCCGTAGATCTCTACATAAACAAGCATTGCATGACTTAACCTTTATCTACTCAGATTCTGACGTGCAGAGCTGTAGACTGAGAAACAGACCCCACTCCTTATCGCTGGTGTGAGATAGCTTGGCAGGCCAGCTCCGTCTGTTATCTCCCTACGTACTGCATCCCATCAGTTTGGGAAAACAAAAATAAGAACGGTGCGCTACATATCTTCCCCATTTCTGAATTAGGGTCCCCCTGGCGAGCCTGGTCCACCTGGCCCTCCAGGTCCCCCTGGCCACCTCACGGCTGCCCTTGGTGATATCATGGGCCACTACGACGATAGCATGCCAGACCCACTTCCAGAGTTTACTGAAGATCAGGCTGCTCCCGATGACAAGAACAAGACCGACCCAGGGGTCCACGCTACCCTGAAGTCACTCAGCAGTCAGATCGAAACCATGCGCAGCCCTGACGGCTCCAAGAAGCACCCGGCCCGGACTTGCGATGACCTGAAGCTTTGCCATTCCGCGAAACAGAGTGGTGAGTGGACAGAGGCCCACGCAGCAAAGCGCGTCCCTGCTTGCATTATTCTCACTCAGCTGACCCTTTAGCTGGGAGTTGATGTAAAAGAGAGATAGATGGTAGGGATGTCGCAGAACTTCTGGTTTAGGGGCAGAGACTGTGAGTTATACAGAAATGGCAGAGCAGAATGGCGTGTGCTCGAAGAGGATATACCTAAGAATCATCTGATTTCATGGTAGTACTTCCCTTTCTGATTAGAAATCCTACATTTAAATTAGTGGCAAGTTTTTTGTGGAGTAGAAATGATACCTATATCTACCTATATCTAAAAATCGATATCTATATCTATATATAGATATTTACCCGAATGACCTCTCAGTGTCTTAATATAGTAATAAAAATTGTTGGATCACTGAGAGAAAAAAATTACATATTATTTCCCAAATTTGTTTGAATATGAAATTCCTTTCATATAACCTAATGTTCTAAGAACCACACTTCCCGAACCTGTGTCGGCAGGATCTGTTACAGTGAGTTTCACAGACATTTTGGCATGGAACAGTGCTTCCGTCCTTGCGTGACTGTGCTTAAAGCTAGCCTGTCCTCATCCTGACTGTCCTGATGATGCACCTGCAGAACACAGGTCCTGGCCCCGTGGTAGGAGCTGCCAAATGCCTAGGAGTTTGGATTAATTTGGGGATGACCACTGCAAGGACAGCTGAGATATTTTCTTTGTAGAATGGGCAATTTTATTGTCAGCTCTGACTTTCCACCCTATCGCTCTTCTTCATTTTACTTGCAGCTCATGTTTTTATAAATATGTGTATAAATCTATATTTGTTTATGTATTTATTTTATTATACCTAGTACCACACACTGTTGTGGTGCATCCTGTTTCAAAACTCTCCTGCATATGCAAAGATTAATTTTAAAAAGGTCTGACAAAGGGGCCGAGGATTTAGCTCAGTGGTTCTGCTGCCTGCCTCTCAAGTGCAAGGACCCGAGTTCGATCTCTGGTACCAAAAAAAAAAAAAAAAAATGGGGGGGGCGTGTGAGGATATAAAAAAAACC